TTTGTATTTTTGCTAGACTATGTGACCTAAAGGTTGGATATGTAATTTTTTGTATTTGTGGTTATTGTTGCATATTTATTTTTAAGTGTGTGTAAATCATTGCACATCTTTTGTGATTATACATGCCTTTATGTTGGGGTAGACTCACGCAATACTTTTATTTTTTGTTTTAATTATGTGTCTGATATTGTTTTAATTGTGATTTTTTTTTTTAGATTGCATATTTGTTTGAATTTTTATATTTGTGGTAGTTGTTGTGTATTTAATTTTTTTTGTTGTATGTTTTGAGGGCAATGTACTTTTAAAATATGTACACCTTTATATGATGTGCATGTCTTATCTATCTATCTTTATTATTGTGATTTTTTGTGGTTATTGCGTATTATTATAATTGTATATTTATTACTTGGAGTCCCTGAAGCATGTAATAGATTTGGTAAGGGCTAAGTGTAATCAAAATATTGTACATCTTTTATGATTGTGCATGTCTTATCCAATGAGGGTAGCTCTATCCGGAAGTTTGTATTTTTGTTTTAATTATGTGAGATTATTTGCAAGTAGACATGGTAAAGTAAATATTTGAATTTTATTTGAACTATGTGTTTGCTTTTGTTGGGGGCATTTATTTGTTTGGAATGTGTAGTTTTTTATATTTGTGGTGACGCGTATTTATTTTAATGTATATTAATTGGAGTGCCTGAAAGCTCGTATTGTATGTTTTGACGGCAAGTATACACTCAAAACATTGTATATCTTTATAATGTTCATGTCTTATCTATTGGGGTAGTTGTACCCGATGTATGTAATTTTGTTTAGTTACATGTTTGATTATCATTTGGGGTAGATACGGTAGAAGTAAAATTTTGTATTTTTTATTCAAATTATTATTGCTTTTTGTTGGAGGCTTGTGCCTTCAAGTTGCATATCTGTTGGAATATGTGCTTGTTTCATTTGTGGTTGTCGTGTATTTATTTTAATTGGGTGCATTAATTGGGTAATAAGATTTTTGTGTGCTTATTGTATGTTTTGATGACAAGTGTACTAATGATCCCAACAAAAAGAAAGAAAATTACGTACCAATTATTGTCGGATTTGGCCTCTAATCCTTTCCTCTACTCACGATGTCTTGTTCTGATTCAACTCAATAGAGAGAAAACACATCAGTTTGATCCTAACAAAATAAAAAAATTATAATACTATTGAGTACAGAAGTTACGTACCGATTCTTATCATGATTGGTCTGTATGCCTTGCCCCTTTAACATCACAAATGTTGTTCTTGATTCAACCTCAATAGAGAGAAAACACATCAATTTATCCCAGCAAAATGAAAAAATATAATACTATTTAGTCTCAACAAAATGAAAGAAGTTACGTACCAATTCTTATCATGATTGGTCTGTATGCCTTGCCCTTTTAACATCACAATTTTGTTTTCTTGATTCAACCTCAATAAAGAAAAACAAAATGAAAAATCTAGCACTATTGATTCCAACAAAAAGAAAGAAAATACGTACCAATTCTTGTCGGATTTGGCCTATAATCTTTCCTCTACCATATGTTGTTCTTGATTCAACCTCAATAAAGAAAAAACACATCAGTTTAATCCCAAAAAAATGAAAAAATTATAATATTATTGAGTCTCAAAAAATAAAAGAAAGTTACGTACCAATTCTTATCATGATTGGTCCGTATGCCTTGCCCATTAACTTCACAATGTTGTTCTTGATTCAACCTCAATAGAGAGAAAACAAATGAAAAATCTGGCACTATTGATCCCAAAAAAAGAAAGAAATTACGTACCAATTCTTGTCGGATTTGGCCTCTAATACTTCCCTCTACTCACGATGATGTTTTTGATTCAACCTCAATAGAGAAAACACATCAGTTTGATCCAACAAAATGAAAAATTATAATACTATTGAGTTTCAACAAAATAAAAGAAAGTTCTACCAATTCTTATCATGATTGTTCTTGATTTAACCTCACCAGAGTGAAAACACATCAATTTGATATCAGGCATCAATTTAATCTCAACAAATGAAAGAAAGTTACATACCAATTCTCATCGGGTTTGGTTTATTAGCCTTGCCCCTCACGATGTTGTTCTTGATTCAACCTCAATAGAGAGAAAACACATAATTGAGCCAAAGAAAATGAAAAGCTAATAATACGATTGAGCATCAATTTAATCTCGACAATTAAAGAAAGTTACATACCAATTCTCATGAGGTTTATCGTAAAAGTGTGAGCATCTTCAGCTGTAGGATTGCAGCTTTAGAGGATCGATCACAGAAGATAGTCACTGCTGAAAGATTCAAGAACCTCACTGCCATTATCATCATCGTCTTCCCTCGCCTTAAATGTATGTTCGAATCCACCTGCTACCACTTCTACAAGCAGAATTCGGTGTTGAAAAACCAGTGGTGTGAGTGTATGTTCACCAGTTTTACCGATGATCCAAACCCATTTTCTTTCATGTCTGTTTTTTCCGTTTCATTGGCAACACTATGGAGTTCTTCTCGGATTGTCTGGATCGCCACTTGATTTCCCAGTAGACACTGATGGTGTTCCTGAAAAGTTGCTCGTTCAGATGGCCATTGCATTTGTACTGATGACAACTCTTGCCCAGATGTGTGTTGTGCTAAATGATGGAGCAGTCAATGGTGATAACTTAGCAAAGATGCACTCTCAGCTAATCCAGATGCTTGAAGTGCTCATGGATAAGCCCTGAAGTAAGTATGGATAAGGCGGTGTTGATCAATAGAAAAAAACAAAAACCATGATCCATATATCTAGGCAAGAAGGTATAAGAAACTGGAGTAGCAGCAGCTATGCCCTTTCGATGCATCTCAATACTTGCACGCCCGTAATGGAACAAATATAATCTCAAAAAGAACATGTACAAATCTGACAAGACTAAGTCACGTATGAACATTATGCCTGTATTATCCAATGTTATAACTTGTATTTCCAGATTGGATCACAATATATATAATCGAGGTAGATAGCCAAGAGGTTATTCAGCCAAATATATGTATATATATATATCGAGGGTAAGGCTTGTCAGGAGTAATACTAGCTAAAGTGTGCACATATTTAGGCCAAGTTTCCTCTTGAAATCTAATAATAACATGAAGAAATTAGAGCCCATACCAATAAGCTCACTTGAGTTAATTCCGCCTGCCATCTATTTTGGTCACCACTGGCGGTTTGGCTCCCACTCGGATGAGCTTTGATAACTTTTCCAACCTACTAAAAAAATAAACAAATAAAATTATATTAGAAAGCTTATAGCTATGGGTCCCCGTCAATTTTACAATTGATTAATAAACCAAAAAAATAGCAGCACCAAGCTACACCAACCTGAAGTTCGGTCAATATGTGCAATAGCATCAACCTAAAAGCACTCGGCATGTAAGAGCACGAAGACAATCAAGAGCTGCAGGGGATGTCACCATTCGAGATTGGAGAAGCTGAAGAACCTTTATACCATGCCTTGAACGAACGCTTCTCTAGCTTTACGATATCCTTGTCCAAGCATGAAATCCTGCGATCTCCAACTAAACCAGAAGCAACTAATGAAGCAGATGCCTGTGATGATGAAGTGTTACCAACAGATGATGGCATAGGTGTCAGTTCCCCAGTTTGATCCCTTGATTCATTCTGATTTGGACCACCTCTGGGACATTCCTCTCTGAATTTCTGTCCCTGGAGTTTATAGCAGATTGATTCCAGCTTGGGTAGAAGAAGCTTGCTGACCTTGCATGAGACTTGGCTTATTGCTTATTCATGAAGGAGGGCACACAAGGTTTATTAACAAATTCAACGCTGGTTCAACAATCTACAATTTTGACAATGAAAATTTTCAAAGTTAATTGAGGCATGCAATTAAAATGAATACGCAAAAACACAAATTCCGAACAAATGCAACCAACAACACTTGCCCTAATATAAAATAAGCAACACGTGGGGTTAGAGCCGCAATATTTAGAGGTTAACTATGAAGGGAGTTGATAAGATTGGTTTCTGAAAATCTATGCAAATAATGAATTGACCTAGCTATTACAATAATTTTAGGTGATTTACTTTTATAATCTACAAGTGGATGCAGCAGCAAAATGTGAAGTCATATCACCCGAACTGCAAGATCCATTCAGACTTCTCCCAAAACTATAAAAATATATAAATATATGACTCTACTATTTTGACCACAAAATGTATGCATATGCTCATATAGTAAAACGAAAAGTTCAAAGCACATTCTCGTCATGCTTAACGAAAAAAATGTAAGCATCTACTCAAAGCTTAAGGCTTTCACACGGAGTGTGTTGAATGCTGAAGTGACATCCTCTAGAGGAAAAATAATCAAACTTAAGCATAAGCTAATATCAAAATTTTTTGTTCATATCAAGGAATTTATTACAAGTTTAAATTTAAAACTTTAAATCATAATATAATTAACATTACAAATACCTCATTCCCAGCAGAATGGTAGCCCCCACCATCATAGGCAGTAAATTGATAAAATCGATGAATTGGTCTTGCGATCCCACAAAACTCCATTCCAAAGCAGCATTGAGTCAATATGAATGATCACATCCATGATCATGTCCAGACGGGTTATTAGAAGTATCAGTCAGTGTCAGATCCAATTGACAAGACTGGATATCATCATACACAAGGATTTAACGCCGGGATGAATCTGATGGCAGTGATGCAAACATTGAATGCTTGGCTCAGGGCAGACATGAGGATAAATAGGTCGGACTGGTTAGCAAACTCTCAACAGATGGTGTGCATAACAAGTTCGAATCCATATGGTCTGAGTGTATGTTCACCAGTTTGGTCTATCCAACAAGAATCCACAAGTTGCTATTTCAGATGGCCATTCTATTTGTATTGATGACAACTCCTGCCCAGATGCGTGTTGTGCTAAAGATGATGGAGCATCCAAGGATGGCATTGGTGATAAACTAATCCAGATAATTGAAGGTGCTCATGGATAAGCCCTGAAGTTGGTGTTGATCAGAAGAAAATTAAACCAAAAACCATGATCCATATATCTAGGAAGGAATGATTATCAAATACCTAGAATGATAAGAAACTGGAGTAGCAGCAGCAATGGCTGCTCCTCTTTCAATGGTCTCAAAGTGGGAGTTGCCGCATCACTAGCTGCTAAAGTACTCGGCATGTAAGAGCACGAAGACAATCAAGAGCTGCAGGGGATGTCACCATTCGAGGTTGGAGAAGCTGAAGAAGCATGCTTTACACGAACAGCTTCTCTAGCTTGACGATATCCTTGTTCAAGCTGAGCACCAAGCCAAGCACGAAATCCTGCGATCTCCAACTAAACCAGAAGCAACTAATGAAGCAGATTCCTGTTATGATGAAGTGTTACCAACAGATGATGGCATAGGTGTCAGTTCCCCAGTTCGAACCCTTGATTCATTCTGATTTAGACCACGCTCTGGGAAATTCCTCTCTGAATTTGTCCCTGGAGTTTATAGCAGATTGATTTCCGTATTGCTGACCTTGCATGAGACTTGGCTTATTGCTTATTGATGAAGGATGGCACACAAGATTTATTAACAAATTCAATGCTGGTTCAACAATCTACAATTTTGACAATGAAAATTTTCAAAGTTAATTGAGGCACAAACAACTTTAAAATAAACCATACGGTTGATGTGCAACATTACCTCAGGTTCATCATAGCCATCACCATCGTTAGGTTGAATAGACTCCACAAGCAAGAGGAGATGTGCCCTGATTTATTGTCGCAGTTCCAGCCAACTTAACAATCTGATGGACAATATTTGGCGGAAGAGAACAAACACACTTCATTATCACCTGCAAAAGTACGGAGTGAATCAATAACCATCCTCAACAAGTGATACAAAGCAGCAAGAAAATAAAGAGTAAAAAACCAAATCATACCAAAATGTGTATAAAGAATTTAGTGCAAGTGGAAACAACAAAAGATATGGGCAGGACAAACTACCTGAATTGAACCAATAGTTCATAAGCAGGAAGAGAGACCCACATATGTATGGGCATTTCTAGGAGTCGCAGGGAGTCTGTCCATGCCACCGCAATCAACAAACAATGCAGAAAACTTTCTGTGAGCAGCCAATGCACATATTAGCTTCAAAGTTCATTCATAAGGAATTTAGTGTAGGGTGTTTCTTCGAGCTTAAGACTTCGCTGCAGTAGTGCAAGGCATACATTTACTCCTTCTCATGGAGTACAGAACCAAGAACTTCAACATACTCCCCAAGAAACACCAGACACTGGATACAGAATTTCTCTCTCAACTTCAGAAGGGAATGACCACCAGGAATAGAAAATTCAGCAAATTCATGGCTTTGAATTCTACAAGTATCAACATATCAAATGAAAATAAAGATATATAGCATAAATAACCATGTCTCAAACACAAAACGATTAAAACATATAGGAAAGTGTCATCAGTTAAAGACATCTCATGAAGCATAGGACCACCAACCTTGCAAGAGCAACTGCACTGGCAGCATCCATAACAGTGTGATGAAGATCTGGATGCAGCAACCACAATAGCTTCTTCGTCATTCGTCTTCTTGTATTCCTGCACTAAAGAAATACACAAATAAGTTCATGAGAAACAAGCATTCAACGAGAACCTAGAGAGGTTTGAGAACCTGCTCACCTCTAATCAGCTGTCTTAACGACCTCAGCAGCAGCAGCACCTGCAGCCTTAATGGCACAGGCAGGTGCATGGTCTGTTCTTGCTTCGGCTCAGCAGCTCCGACTGCTTTCATAACCAACTCAGTAATGTCTCAGAAACTCCTTCATTGGACCTACCTCTTGATCGCCATCGATACTCCTTCAAAGTCTTCTTCCCCATGAGATTTTCCACCAGGTTTTTCTTTTGACTGGCAGAGATCCCACTTCTCGTCACTATCTGCTTCAGCATCATATGCATCAACCTCAGGAGCTACACTATCAAGATGTTCCTCATCACCCCAGTACATATCCCCATATGTTTGCCTATTGCCACACCTCTCATCATCTCAATCAAGGTTGTCCATAGATGTGCGATCTTTTTCACGTTCACTCTCAGTGGGATGGGCTCTGATAGTCTCAGTATCCATGTGAAAACTCTCTGTCACTTGCTTTGACTTACCCCTGCCATCCTCTTTGGCCTTTAGAGCCATGCTAGACACACTTTTGTTGTCAAACAATACCTTAGAAGCTTTTGGTTTGTGTTAACCGTACTCGTAGATATCACATTATGTCAACACATCTTCCACTAACTGACCACCACTGAAAAAGCAACATCAAAAGGAAATTATGAGAGGAGAAAAAGAAAACAGAAGAAAATTGAAAATAAAAATATTGGAATATACTTCTCCAAGCATGCAGTCAGCAGGTCAATAGCATAAGTGCGCAACATTTCAGCATTGACCCTTCTCTCTTTGTAGTTCTTCTTTTTTCGTTTTTTTTTTCCTTGCGTAAGTCCTGCATGTCCAACCTCACCAGCTGTCTTTACAACCTATTTTTCAACTATTCAAATATCAGTCTCAGCTCCAAATCAACCTACTGAAAAGATGTAGAGATCATGAAACGAAACATGCCTATTTTACCTCCAAAATATTCTTGTTCTCTGAAATCAGTGTGATATAGGATGTTCCTGCTTAATGAGTTCTTTTTCTTCCTGCCATTGTGAAAAAACCATATATGATTATTGAACAAACTAACAACCAATGGGATTTAGTAGACCTAAACAAGTTACCTACTTTGTTTTCTTGTTCTCTTTCGCGACTTGTTTTCCATTTTGCCACCAGCAGGTTCAACATCTCCTTAAGGTCAACATCTGATTGGCTTTTTTTTCAATTTTTTTCTTCTCTTTCTTTTTTTTTTTCATTTTTCATTTTTTTTTCCTTAATCTTTTCATCTTTGTTTCCCTTTTTTTTCAAAAAATTTTCCACTTTTCCAGCTCTTTTCTTTTCTTTTTTTTTTCTTTTCTTTTTCTCAACCTTTTTTATTGATCTCTTTGCAAAATAATACAGTAAGAACAACAACAAAAAAAGCACAAACTTGCAAACTGTAACACAAAATAAGGCCAACGATAAACCATCTCCCGCCCAAACACTTACCTTTTTAGCTTTGGCATCCAAAAGAGGATGAATATCTCTTCTCAACTTCAACAAAGTAGCAAAACCATACTTTTGAAGCATATTCTTCATGTCCATCCCTCACATCTTCACAATCTGGTTTTAGACAATTAGAATATTAGTTTTATTTAAATCCAAATCAACCCACTTAAAAGATACATATATTAGAAAACCAAGCAAGCTAAATTTACCTCGACAATGTTCTTATTCTCTTCGATCAATATAGCTCGCCACTTGTTTGAGTAGAAGAAGGCTGAGATAGGACGTTTCGGCTTTAACGGGTATTTTTCCTTTCTATCAATGCAAAGGAACCATATATGATTATTAGTTTGATTCAACTCCAAATCAACCCGCTTAAAATAAGTAGAAATTAGAAAACTAAGCAAGCTAATTTACCTCCACAAAGTTCTTATTCTCTAAAATCAATGTAGCTCGACACTTGTTTTCTTTTACAAATTTCTTTTTTTTCTATTCTTTTGTTTTTTTCTCTTTCTGTTTCTTCAAATTTTTTGCTTTTTTCTTTTCTTTTTCTTTTTTCTGTTTCTTTTCATTTCTTTTTTTTAACTATTTTTTTTATTCAGAATTTTTTTTTTCTTTTTTTTTTTTTTCGTTTTTTTGGGTAGGCACCGCATGTCCATTGTGGTGCTGCATTATAAAGAAAACATTAATGAGGTGTAATTAAGCCAAGGATATACCATCCCTTGCCCAAAAAGCTTCGGCATCCAAAAGAGGATAAAATATCTTTTCTCAACTTCAAAAAAATAGCCATACCGTACTTTTAAGCACATTCTTCATGTCCTTTCTTCAACGGCACAATCTGGTTTTAGACAATTCAAATGTTAGTTTTATTTAACTCCAAATCAACCCACTTTAAAGATATAGATATTAGAAAACCAAGCAAGCAAGTTTTTACCTCAACAATGTTCTTATTCTCTTCAATCAATGTAGCTCACCGCTTGTTCGAGTAGATGGAGTCCTGACATAGGATGTTTTGGCTTTAATATGTCCTTTTCCATCCTATCTATGTAAAGGAACCATATATAATTAGTAAACAAACTAACAACCAATGAGATTTAGTAAAAACAAAACAAATTAATGTATACTTACTTTAGTTTTCTTGTTTTCTTTCACGATTTCACTAATTGTCTTCCATTTTGCCCCCAACAAGTTCGACATCTCTTTGAAGTGAGCATTTGGATTGGCTTTCTTTTCTGTTTATCTTTTCTTCTTTTTTACTTATTTTACTTTCCTTGGGTAAGTATTGCATGTCCACCCCTCACTGCCGGTCTTCAAAACCTGGTTTTAGACAATTCAAATGTTAGTTTGATTCAACTCCAAATCAACCCACTTAAAATAAGTAGAAATTAGAAAACCAAGCAAGCTAATTTACCTCCACAATGTTCTTATTCTCTAAAATCAATGTAGCTCGGCACTTGTTCGAGTAGATGAAGGCCAACATGGGATGTTTCGGCCGTAATGGGTCCTTCTCTGTAGAAGAACCATATATGATTGTATAACAAACTAACAACCAATAGGATTTAGTAAAAGTAAACAAATTCATGTATACCCACCTTTTTTTTCTTTTTTTCTTTCATAGCTTTCTTTTTTTTTTTTTTTTTTTTAACTTTTATGCTTTTTATCTTTCTTTTTCTTTTTTCTCTATTTTTTTTTCATTTATGCTTTTTTTAACCTTTTTTTTTCAGATTTTTTTTTTCTTTCTTTCTTTTTTCTTTTCGTTTTTCTGGGTAGGCACTGTATGTCCATTGTGGTGTTGCATTATAAAGAAAATATTAATGAGATGTAATTAAGCCAACGATAGACTACATCCTGCCCAAACACTTACCTTTTCAGCTTTGGCATCCAAAAGAGGATGAATATCTCTTCTCAACTTCAAAAGAATAGCCAGACCGTACTATTAAGCACATTCTTCATGTCCTTTCTTCACCGACACAATCTGATTTAGACAATCAAATGTTAGTGTTATCTAACTCAAACTCAACCCACTTTAAAGATATATATATTAGAAAACCAAGCAAACAAGTTTTTACCTCAATAATGTTCTTATTCTCTTCAATCAATGTAGTTCACCGTTTGTTCAAGTAGATAGAGACATGACATAGGATGTTTTGGCTTTAATATGTCCTTTTCCTTGCTATCTATGTAAAGGAACCATATATGATTATTAAACAAACTAACAACCAATAAGATTTAGTAAAACTAAACAAACTAATGTATACTTACTTAGTTTTCTTGTTTTCCTTCACGACTTCATTAATTGTCTTCCATTTTGCCCCAAAAAAGTTCGACATCTCTATGAAGTGAGCATTTGGATTGGCTTTCTCTTTTGTTTCATTTTTTTTTTTCTTTTGTTCTTTTATTTATTTTACTTTTTTTGGGTAAGTATTGCATGTCCAACCCTCACCGAAGGTCTTCAAAACCTGGTTTTAGACAATTAAAATGTTAGTTTGTCAACTCCAAATCAACCCACTTAAAAGAAGTAAAAATTAAAAAACAAACCAAGCCAGTTTACCTCCACAATGTTCTTATTTTCTACAATTAATGCAGCTTGGCACTCGTGTGAGTAGATGAAGGCCGACATAGGATGTTTTGACCTAATGAGTTCCTTTGCTTCCTGTTGATGTAAAAGAACAGTATGTTATTACTAAAAAAACTAACAACTAATAGAATTTAGTGAAACTAAGCAAATTTATATATACCCACTTTGTTTTCATGTTTTCTTTCACAGCCACCAACAGGTTCGACATCTGCACTGACTTTCTTTTTTTGCTTTTCTTTTTCTTTTTTCTCTTTTTTATTTTCTTCCTTTTTTTCAGTTCTTTTTTTTCTGATTTTTTTTTTCTCTCCGTCTTTTTGTTCATTTCTTTGAGTAGGCACTGCATTTCCATTGTGGTACTGCATTATAAAAGAAAACATTAAATGAGAACCATGCATACTTATAAACGGGTTATCTAAGTTGCAATGCATAAAAGACATGAAAAATATATATTCGTATAAAGTATTTCAATTAAAATATAGTTAACTTACCTTGACCAATGCACTCCAATCTTTCACCCGGCATCACAGCTAAATGGATAATAATAATGAGTGAACCAAGCTGAGCTCAACAAACCTCACCATGGGTTAGTGTATGCACTCAAGTTAAATCATAAAAATGGCAATCCCATAGGCTTGCATGTCAATCATATCTCCCTCACTTAAGGGACCTAATGACAAGTATCAGGGGGTCTTTAAACAGGTGTAATGGGGCTCGGGGTATAGGTAGAAAAAAGGATAATGAACGGCTAAAAAGTGTCGAAACAACAATGGAAAGAATTAAAGCATATCACTTGTAAGAATTGAAATCAACATTACATTGGTAACCGTAACTCCACTCATTTTTGTTTCTTTTGTTTTTTTTTTTTTTTTACTTTTTTGTGCTGCTTCTTTTTGTTTTCTTGTTTCAGCACTTTGTTTTTTGTTTTGCTTTTTTTTTTTTTTTGTTTTGTTTTGTTGGGGTTTAGCCCCTTTGTTTTATTTTCCTTTTTGTAAACATCAACAACACTATACTTTCCCTTTCTACACTTTATACAAGAAGAATATAAATGATAGCCATAAAACTTCCACTCTTCCTTCGACACAAGGATCAATATAAGGTATAAATCCAAAAAATGGTATATGGCTAAAGGATTAATGATTGATTGAAGAATGAAAAGGTTTTCAAAAGGCTCAACGGTGTTAACTAGTGGATAAAATTTTTGGGTAGGATAATTTAAGCCAAGTAGGTATACCTAATGCCCCCGTCATCTTACTTATATCAGGTCCTCATGTGTGTTCAACATGCATTTCGAGGCAAGTTCTAGAATGCCAATTTAGATCTAACATCACACATGAAAAAAATATATATATAAATATCGAATGCTCTAGGCTCAAAGTCCTCACATAGGAAGGAAATAAAATATTAAGCTCGGCAAGGTTCAAACAGCAATGGATGGCAAGTGAAATAACAATGCATCGACATAGTTGATATCCTGGAAGGGGGAAATATAAAGTCCATGAGCCCCAAAACAAGAAATTGCAAAAGCAGACCAATCTAATCCAAGATGAACAGAAAACCCAACTTACAGGGGTCCGGTGGGCAGAGCAGAGCAGAGCAGAACGAAGGCCGGGCAAAGCGTTGGTTTTTCTCCTTTCTCTCGATCTTCTTCTGCAATCAGAAAGGAAACTTGTAAAATCGAACCGATTCGATTAAAGAAAAATGAAAAAATCGAATCAAGAAGCAGATTGAATATAAAATGGAAAACCTAAAACGGATGATTAGGGACGACGGACTTTCTTATGGCCGCCGGCCGACGACCGGCGTAGACGACGGAAGACAGTCTCTTCCGTGATCGATTTCCTCTCTTCTTGTCTCTGGACTTTCTCTTCTCTCCATTTCCTTCCCCCTCTCTCTCTGTCTCTCTCTCTCTCTCTCTCGCGTTTCTTTCTAGTTTCTTCCTTACCGTTATGAAGTTCGGTTTAAGTATGGTAATAATTTTTCAAATTTTTATAACTAAAAAGTACTACACGATAAAAATTATATTATTATTTTTTATATACAAAAAATATTAAATCAAATTATTTTTCCACCTATAATTGACTATTTTAAAATATAATGAGATGTTTTATTTATTTAATATTTTATTGATAAAATAGATAATTAATTTTAGCATAAATTATTTTTATATTTGAAGTAATTATTTGTAGTCATATTAAAACTCTAAAAATATATATTCAAATTTAGATTTTCTATAAGAAATTATTAATGTAGTTATGTAAAAAAAATTAAAATTAAAATTTTAGATCGTGCCATTTAATTAACATTGTGTGGTATATATAAATTACGGGTCTTTTGATAATTATTAGTATTAATTAAGAAAAGTGATCATTGGAAATTTTGACCTTTAAAAATTTATGGTATGTATTAATTAGTTTCTTTTGGTAATTAGAAATAGTAATTAAGGAAAATGATCAAATCGGATTTTTTTTATTTGATGCAATTTTTTATTTGATGCAACCATTATGAATTTTAAATTTTAAAAATGTATAGTCGATTAGTTTCTTTTGGTAATTAGTAGTTTTAATTAAGGAAATTGATCAAATCAGAATTGGTTGATTGGACCATTTTGGATAAATGGAAAATCCTTTGAAATTGACAAGATTTGACAATTGTTAATTATTTTTTTAAAGTGATAAAATATTAAAAAATAGTAATTATGTCACAACTATTTTCAATATGGCTATTTCATATTTGCATCAAAATAGTCTTTGGTCTTTATTTTTTTTTTTAAAAAAAAAGTTAGCTTAGATATTTAATCTTATATATGTACGCTTTTTTAAAAGTGTAAGGCTTTCTTTATTTAGGTTTTGTTTTTTTAACCCTAAACTCCAGCTTTTTACTATTTGAACTGCATTTTCGAAAAAAATATATATTTTTCGCTCATTAAATATCTCATTATACATTATTTTAATATCAATTTCAAATCAAAATTTTCCAAACTATATCAAAAGATAGTGTTTTGATTTTGAATTTTTTTTATGTGAAGTAGTAATATTTTATATTGAATGTTGACTTTTGTAAGAAGATAAAATATAAATATTGTAAATCGTGTTAGAAAAAAAATTATGGACAAACAAACCCTAATTAATTCCTTGTTTGGATAGTTTTTCGGACCATTTTAAAAACCCATGGTGAAAGATGAGTCACCCATCTTTAACACAATGAAATTTGATTTTGACACCATCATTGTATCATTCATTGATGTTAAATATTGGAACAAATTCAGGCTTGTAGATCATATAATGCTAAGGATGGTATCGATAGATGCTTCGAACAATTTTTGTATTCGAACTTGTGCACACTTGAAAGTTTCTCCGGCACCCATGGAAAAATATAAGTTTTGTCTAAGGAGTTAAGAGTCGCCTTTACATAACCATTAATTTGACGGTTAAGTAAATGATTTTTGTGAGAAATTAATTATAAGAACTCAAAAATTGCATTCTTAAATAAAGAAAATAAAGACCAATAAATACACATAATATACACAGACTCGATAGAATAAGATAAGACAAATTTAAATTTAAATCTACTAAATCTAAATCTAAAACTAAATATCTAAAATATCTCAACAATTCTGATCAAACAAAGATAGTGACAAATCACCATATATGCCCTCCAACTTATCAATTGTCGGAAGGGCACTTGTAATAATTTTTGCAAACGTTATTGTAGATTTACCTAGCCACGCAAATATTTGTAAAATGGGACTAGAGATATTGTCGCGGATGTAGTTTCAAATATCTACTTGTAAGTAGTCAATCCATGGAACAAAATTCATCATTGTGAGGACTACTCATTCCCTAGGAGATGGTTATAATGTTGCTGAGAAAAATCAGCATAACATTGATTTTCCTTAATCTTAACATATAAACATAAAGACAACATTCATTTTCTATAGTACATGAATATATTTATTGTATTGAAATTAATAATAGCATATATTATATAAAATTATATCACGTGTTACTATCAATTTATGCCCTATATTTATATTATATTAACATAAATAAGTATTGTATGTCTCAATATCTAATGTTGTTATCACTTTATTGAAGTAAAATTGCTCATTCGCCAAGAGCGATCTCCGGTCAATGTATTCAAAAATCCATTGGTAAGCGATGTCCAAAAAGCTTGTATTTTTCTATCAGGTCTAATTCTGATCTCGGATCATTTAAAATATCATATAAAATATTATTTTAATTTAAATCATTATTATATCCAAACCTCAAACCTAAACCTTGTGAAGGTTTATTAAAGACAACAATGGCACATAAAAAACAGGGGACACTTCATGAATCAACTGCAGTCGCGCCGTAACCTCGTCCATCTAGTCCTCTCGGTGTTTTTCTGAACGGATTGAAAGCAATCATCGTCAGTTCACGCGTATAAAGACAAAAAATCATCAAAGCTAAGCATGTTCCTTTTACCTCGATTCATCTCACTCGCAATCGGGGCCTAAAACAGAGTAAAATGAAATTATATATAAGAAAATTGAATAATTTTAATAAAAAATAATCATTCTAACATAAATTTATTTATTTAGAATAAATTACAAGATAAATATCGTTTAGTGTTAAATAAATATGATAGATATAAGTTTATTTTGTTAATTAAAACCTCACTCTTGACTGTTTAATTAAATGATTAAATTAAAAATAATTTAATTTGATTTATATAAAAATTTATTTTATAATTTAATTGCATTATATAATTCAAAAATATCATAACTAATTTTTAACTATAAAATTCGTATAATATAATTTATGTATAATTAAATACAGATAAAATAATTTATAAATTAAATATATATATATATATTCTTCACTCCAAGTTGCCCCAATTTTGAAGGAAATCAAAATAAATTCATTTTATATTTTTTCCCCTCTCTTTCCCCATTTAAAAAAATAGAACCAAACTAGATAATTATATTTTTTTTTTCTCCCCTCCCATCCCCTACCTTCCCCTCCATTATTCTCAAACCAAACAGACCTTAAATTGATGTTCGATAGTATTATAATTTTTTCATTTTTTTGGGATCAAACTATTGTGGTTGAATCAAGAATAACATCATAAGGTTAGAGGGATAACACGTGGGGTTAGTGCAGCAAGATTTAGACGCCAATTTCGACAACAATAATTTAGGTGAATTTGGTATTTAATGGTTTTTTTTTTTTTGTTGTGGGTGTGTGTGCGAGTAGATGCTCACAATATTTCGTTAAGCATGTTGAAAATGTGCTTCGTGTGTTTGTTTTTCGTTTTACTATACGAGCATATGCATACATTTTGTTGGTCAAAAACAGTAGTAGATTCCAACACTGTTTTATTTTGCCTGTTTAGCATAGGTTATCGTTATTTTTTTATATTTTATTCTAGTTTCTTTCCGGTACTAGATGTCACACATTTTCAAATTTATGTTAGATGTTCTCACACTGTGTATTATTTGTTGAGGGCCAGTGTGCCACAAATGCTTATAGATGTTCTAATTGTTTGCATATATATATATATCTTAGTATGCGTTCGAAAGCATGTAACAACATTATTTGTGTTATAATGGTATGTTTTGAGGGAAAGTGTACTAAAAAATTGAATATCTTTTATGATTATGCATGCCTTATCAAAGTTTCTATTTTGTTTTAATTTGTGTCTAATATGAATAGACAGGGTAACTAAAAGTTTTCGTCTTTTTTTGGACTATGGTGGTTGCTTTTGTTGGGTGCATTTGTTTCGAATTTGTATTTTTGCGTATTTATTTTAATTGTGTGATATATGTATCCAATATTTGTGATTTTGCTTTAATTACATGTTTGATATCAATAAAAGTTTGTATTTTTGCTAGACTATGTGACCTAAAGGTTGGATATGTAATTTTTTGTATTTGTGGTTATTGTTGCATATTTATTTTAAGTGTGTGTAAATCATTGCACATCTTTTGTGATTATACATGCCTTGTATGTTGGGGTAGACTCACGCAATACTTTTATTTTTGTTTTAATTATGTGTCTGAAATTGTTTTAATTATGATTTTTTTTTTAGATTGCATATTTGTTTGAATTTTTTATATTTGTGGTAGTTGTTGTGTATTTATTTTTTTGTTGTATGTTTTGAGGGCAACTGTACTTCTAAAATATTGTACACCTTTATATGATTGTGCATGTCTTATCTATCTATCTTTTATTATTGTGAATTTTTTGTGGTTATTGCGTATTTATTATAATTGTATATTTATTACTTGGAGTCCCTGAAAGCATGTAATAAGATTTGGTAAGGGCTAAGTGTAATCAAAATATTGTACATCTTTTATGATTGTGCATGTCTTATCCAATGAGGGTAGCTCTATCCGGAAGTTTGTATTTTTGTTTTAATTATGTGATATTATTTGCAAGTAGACATGGTAAAAGTAAATATTTGAATTTGTATTTGTACTATGTGTTTGCTTTTTGTTGGGGCATGTATTTGTTTGGAATGTGTAGTTTTTTATATTTGTGGTGACGCGTATTTATTTTAATGTATATTTATTGGAGTGCCTTGAAAGCTCGTATTGTATGTTTTGACGGCAAGTATACTCAAAACATTGTATATCTTTTATAATTGTTCATGTCTTATCTATCGGGGTAGTTGTACCCGATGTATGTAATTTTGTTTTAGTTACATGTTTGATTATCATTTGGGGTAGATACGGTAGAAGTAAAATTTTGTATTTTTTATTCAAATTATATTATTGCTTTTTGTTGGAGGCTTGTGCCTTCAAGGTTGCATATCTGTTTGGAATATGTGTTTGTTTACATTTGTGGTTGTCGTGTATTTATTTTAATTGGGTGCTTATTAATTGGGTAATAAGATTAGTTGTGTGCTTATTGTATGTTTTGATGACAAGTGTACTAATGATCCCAACAAAAAGAAAGAAAATTACGTACCAATTATTGTCGGATTTGGCCTCTAATCCTTTCCTCTACTCACGATGTTGTTCTTGATTCAACCTCAATAGAGAGAAAACACATCAGTTTGATCCTAACAAAATAAAAAAATTATAATACTATTGAGTATCAAAGTTACGTACCGATTCTTATCATGATTGGTCTGTATGCCTTGCCCCTTTAACATCACAAATGTTGTTCTTGATTCAACCTCAATAGAGAGAAAACACATCAATTTGATCCCAGCAAATTGAAAAAAATATAATACTATTTAGTCTCAACAAAATGAAAGAAAGTTACGTACCAATTCTTATCATGATTGGTCTGTATGCCTTGCCCTTTTGACATCACAATTTTGTTCTTGATTCAACCTCAATAAAGAGAAAACAAAATGAAAAATCTAGCACTATTGATTCCAACAAAAAGAAAGAAAAATACGTACCAATTCTTGTCGGATTTGGCCTAAAATCTTTCCCTCTACTCATGATGTTGTTCTTGATTCAACCTCAATAAAGAAAAAACACATCAGTTTAATCCCAAAAAAATGAAAAAATTATAATATTATTGAGTCTCAACAAAATAAAAGAAAGTTACGTACCAATTCTTATCATGATTGGTCCGTATGCCTTGCCCATTTAACTTCACAATGTTGTTCTTGATTCAACCTCAATAGAGAGAAAACAAAATGAAAAATCTGGCACTATTGATCCCAAAAAAAGAAAGAAAATTACGTACCAATTCTTGTCGGATTTGGCCTCTAATACTTCCCTCTACTCACGATGATGTTTTTGATTCAACCTCAATAGAGAGAAAACACATCAGTTTGATCCAAACAAAATGAAAAATTATAATACTATTGAGTTTCAACAAAATAAAAGAAAGTTACGTACCAATTCTTATCATGATTGTTCTTGATTTAACCTCACCAGAGTGAAAACACATCAATTTGATATCAGGCATCAATTTAATCTCAACAAAATGAAAGAAAGTTACATACCAATTCTCATCGGGTTTGGTTTATTAGCCTTGCCCCTCACGATGTTGTTCTTGATTCAACCTCAATAGAGAGAAAACACATAAATTGAGCCAAAGAAAATGAAAAAGCTATAATACGATTGAGCATCAATTTAATCTCGACAATTAAAGAAAGTTACATACCAATTCTCATGAGGTTTATCGTAAAAGTGTGAGCATCTTCAGCTGTAGGATTGCAGCTTTAAGAAGGATCGATCACAGAAGATAGTCACTGCTGAAAGATTCAAGAACCTCACTGCCATTATCATCATCGTCTTCCTCGCCTTAAATGTATGTTCGAATCCACCTGCAGACCACTTCTACAAGCAGAATTCGGTGTTGAAAAACCAGGTGGTGTGAGTGTATGTTCACCAGTTTTACCGATGATCCAAACCCATTTTCTTTCATGTCTGTTTTTCCGTTTCATTGGCAACACTATTGGAGTTCTTCTCGGATTGTCTGGATCGCCACTTGATTTCCCAGTAGACACTGATGGTGTTCCTGAAAAGTTGCTCGTTCAGATGGCCATTGCATTTGTACTGATGACAACTCTTGCCCAGATGTGTGTTGTGCTAAATGATGGAGCAGTCAATGGTGATAACTTAGCAAAGATGCACTCTCAGCTAATCCAGATGCTTGAAGGTGCTCATGGATAAGCCCTGAAGTAAGTATGGATAAGGCGGTGTTGATCAATAGAAAATTAAACAAAAACCATGATCCATATATCTAGGCAAGAAGGTATAAGAAACTGGAGTAGCAGCAGCTATGCCCTTTCGATGCATCTCAATACTTGCACGCCCGTAATGGAACAAAATATAATCTCAAAAAGAACATGTACAAATCTGACAAGACTAAGGTCACGTATGAACATTATGCCTGTATTATCCAATGTTATAACTTGTATTTCCAGATTGGATCACAATATATATAATCGAGGTAGATAGCCAAGAGGTTATTCAGCCAAATATATGTATATATATATATATCGAGGGTAAGGCTTGTCAGGAGTAATACTAGCTAAAGTGTGCACATATTTAGGCCAAGTTTCCTCTTGAAATCTAATAATAACATGAAGAAATTAGAGCCCATACCAATAAGCTCACTTGAGTTAATTCCGCCTGCCATCTATTTTGGTCACCACTGGCGGTTTGGCTCCCACTCGGATGAGCTTTGATAACTTTTCCAAACCTAAAAAAATAAACAAATAAAATTATATTAGAAAGCTTATAGCTATGGGTCCCCGTCAATTTTACAATTGATTAATAAACCAAAAAAACAGCAGCACCAAGCTACACCAACCTGAAGTTCGGTCAATATATGTGCAATAGCATCAACCTAAAAGCACTCGGCATGTAAGAGCACGAAGACAATCAAGAGCTGCAGGGGATGTCACCATTCGAGATTGGAGAAGCTGAAGAACCTTTATACCATGCCTTGAACGAACGCTTCTCTAGCTTTACGATATCCTTGTCCAAGCATGAAATCCTGCGATCTCCAACTAAACCAGAAGCAACTAATGAAGCAGATGCCTGTGATGATGAAGTGTTACCAACAGATGATGGCATAGGTGTCAGTTCCCCAGTTTGATCCCTTGATTCATTCTGATTTGGACCACCTCTGGGACATTCCTCTCTGAATTTCTGTCCCTGGAGTTTATAGCAGATTGATTCCAGCTTGGGTAGAAGAAGCTTGCTGACCTTGCATGAGACTTGGCTTATTGCTTATTCATGAAGGAGGGCACACAAGGTTTATTAACAAATTCAACGCTGGTTCAACAATCTACAATTTTGACAATGAAAATTTTCAAAGTTAATTGAGGCATGCAATTAAAATGAATACGCAAAAACACAAATTCCGAACAAATGCAACCAACAACACTTGCCCTAATATAAAATAAGCAACACGTGGGGTTAGAGCCGCAATATTTAGAGGTTAACTATGAAGGGAGTTGATAAGATTGGTTTCTGAAAATCTATGCAAATAATGAATTGACCTAGCTATTACAATAATTTTAGGTGATTTACTTTTATAATCTACAAGTGGATGCAGCAGCAAAATGTGAAGTCATATCACCCGAACTGCAAGATCCATTCAGACTTCTCCCAAAACTATAAAAATATATAAATATATGACTCTACTATTTTGACCACAAAATGTATGCATATGCTCATATAGTAAAACGAAAAGTTCAAAGCACATTCTCGTCATGCTTAACGAAAAAAATGTAAGCATCTACTCAAAGCTTAAGGCTTTCACACGGAGTGTGTTGAATGCTGAAGTGACATCCTCTAGAGGAAAAATAATCAAACTTAAGCATAAGCTAATATCAAAATTTTTTGTTCATATCAAGGAATTTATTACAAGTTTAAATTTAAAACTTTAAATCATAATATAATTAACATTACAAATACCTCATTCCCAGCAGAATGGTAGCCCCCACCATCATAGGCAGTAAATTGATAAAATCGATGAATTGGTCTTGCGATCCCACAAAACTCCATTCCAAAGCAGCATTGAGTCAATATGAATGATCACATCCATGATCATGTCCAGACGGGTTATTAGAAGTATCAGTCAGTGTCAGATCCAATTGACAAGACTGGATATCATCATACACAAGGATTTAACGCCGGGATGAATCTGATGGCAGTGATGCAAACATTGAATGCTTGGCTCAGGGCAGACATGAGGATAAATAGGTCGGACTGGTTAGCAAACTCTCAACAGATGGTGTGCATAACAAGTTCGAATCCATATGGTCTGAGTGTATGTTCACCAGTTTGGTCTATCCAACAAGAATCCACAAGTTGCTATTTCAGATGGCCATTCTATTTGTATTGATGACAACTCCTGCCCAGATGCGTGTTGTGCTAAAGATGATGGAGCATCCAAGGATGGCATTGGTGATAAACTAATCCAGATAATTGAAGGTGCTCATGGATAAGCCCTGAAGTTGGTGTTGATCAGAAGAAAATTAAACCAAAAACCATGATCCATATATCTAGGAAGGAATGATTATCAAATACCTAGAATGATAAGAAACTGGAGTAGCAGCAGCAATGGCTGCTCCTCTTTCAATGGTCTCAAAGTGGGAGTTGCCGCATCACTAGCTGCTAAAGTACTCGGCATGTAAGAGCACGAAGACAATCAAGAGCTGCAGGGGATGTCACCATTCGAGGTTGGAGAAGCTGAAGAAGCATGCTTTACACGAACAGCTTCTCTAGCTTGACGATATCCTTGTTCAAGCTGAGCACCAAGCCAAGCACGAAATCCTGCGATCTCCAACTAAACCAGAAGCAACTAATGAAGCAGATTCCTGTTATGATGAAGTGTTACCAACAGATGATGGCATAGGTGTCAGTTCCCCAGTTCGAACCCTTGATTCATTCTGATTTAGACCACGCTCTGGGAAATTCCTCTCTGAATTTGTCCCTGGAGTTTATAGCAGATTGATTTCCGTATTGCTGACCTTGCATGAGACTTGGCTTATTGCTTATTGATGAAGGATGGCACACAAGATTTATTAACAAATTCAATGCTGGTTCAACAATCTACAATTTTGACAATGAAAATTTTCAAAGTTAATTGAGGCACAAACAACTTTAAAATAAACCATACGGTTGATGTGCAACATTACCTCAGGTTCATCATAGCCATCACCATCGTTAGGTTGAATAGACTCCACAAGCAAGAGGAGATGTGCCCTGATTTATTGTCGCAGTTCCAGCCAACTTAACAATCTGATGGACAATATTTGGCGGAAGAGAACAAACACACTTCATTATCACCTGCAAAAGTACGGAGTGAATCAATAACCATCCTCAACAAGTGATACAAAGCAGCAAGAAAATAAAGAGTAAAAAACCAAATCATACCAAAATGTGTATAAAGAATTTAGTGCAAGTGGAAACAACAAAAGATATGGGCAGGACAAACTACCTGAATTGAACCAATAGTTCATAAGCAGGAAGAGAGACCCACATATGTATGGGCATTTCTAGGAGTCGCAGGGAGTCTGTCCATGCCACCGCAATCAACAAACAATGCAGAAAACTTTCTGTGAGCAGCCAATGCACATATTAGCTTCAAAGTTCATTCATAAGGAATTTAGTGTAGGGTGTTTCTTCGAGCTTAAGACTTCGCTGCAGTAGTGCAAGGCATACATTTACTCCTTCTCATGGAGTACAGAACCAAGAACTTCAACATACTCCCCAAGAAACACCAGACACTGGATACAGAATTTCTCTCTCAACTTCAGAAGGGAATGACCACCAGGAATAGAAAATTCAGCAAATTCATGGCTTTGAATTCTACAAGTATCAACATATCAAATGAAAATAAAGATATATAGCATAAATAACCATGTCTCAAACACAAAACGATTAAAACATATAGGAAAGTGTCATCAGTTAAAGACATCTCATGAAGCATAGGACCACCAACCTTGCAAGAGCAACTGCACTGGCAGCATCCATAACAGTGTGATGAAGATCTGGATGCAGCAACCACAATAGCTTCTTCGTCATTCGTCTTCTTGTATTCCTGCACTAAAGAAATACACAAATAAGTTCATGAGAAACAAGCATTCAACGAGAACCTAGAGAGGTTTGAGAACCTGCTCACCTCTAATCAGCTGTCTTAACGACCTCAGCAGCAGCAGCACCTGCAGCCTTAATGGCACAGGCAGGTGCATGGTCTGTTCTTGCTTCGGCTCAGCAGCTCCGACTGCTTTCATAACCAACTCAGTAATGTCTCAGAAACTCCTTCATTGGACCTACCTCTTGATCGCCATCGATACTCCTTCAAAGTCTTCTTCCCCATGAGATTTTCCACCAGGTTTTTCTTTTGACTGGCAGAGATCCCACTTCTCGTCACTATCTGCTTCAGCATCATATGCATCAACCTCAGGAGCTACACTATCAAGATGTTCCTCATCACCCCAGTACATATCCCCATATGTTTGCCTATTGCCACACCTCTCATCATCTCAATCAAGGTTGTCCATAGATGTGCGATCTTTTTCACGTTCACTCTCAGTGGGATGGGCTCTGATAGTCTCAGTATCCATGTGAAAACTCTCTGTCACTTGCTTTGACTTACCCCTGCCATCCTCTTTGGCCTTTAGAGCCATGCTAGACACACTTTTGTTGTCAAACAATACCTTAGAAGCTTTTGGTTTGTGTTAACCGTACTCGTAGATATCACATTATGTCAACACATCTTCCACTAACTGACCACCACTGAAAAAGCAACATCAAAAGGAAATTATGAGAGGAGAAAAAGAAAACAGAAGAAAATTGAAAATAAAAATATTGGAATATACTTCTCCAAGCATGCAGTCAGCAGGTCAATAGCATAAGTGCGCAACATTTCAGCATTGACCCTTCTCTCTTTGTAGTTCTTCTTTTTTCGTTTTTTTTTTCCTTGCGTAAGTCCTGCATGTCCAACCTCACCAGCTGTCTTTACAACCTATTTTTCAACTATTCAAATATCAGTCTCAGCTCCAAATCAACCTACTGAAAAGATGTAGAGATCATGAAACGAAACATGCCTATTTTACCTCCAAAATATTCTTGTTCTCTGAAATCAGTGTGATATAGGATGTTCCTGCTTAATGAGTTCTTTTTCTTCCTGCCATTGTGAAAAAACCATATATGATTATTGAACAAACTAACAACCAATGGGATTTAGTAGACCTAAACAAGTTACCTACTTTGTTTTCTTGTTCTCTTTCGCGACTTGTTTTCCATTTTGCCACCAGCAGGTTCAACATCTCCTTAAGGTCAACATCTGATTGGCTTTTTTTTCAATTTTTTTCTTCTCTTTCTTTTTTTTTTTTCATTTTTCATTTTTTTTCCTTAATCTTTTCATCTTTGTTTCCCTTTTTTTTCAAAAAATTTTCCACTTTTCCAGCTCTTTTCTTTTCTTTTTTTTTTCTTTTCTTTTTCTCAACCTTTTTTATTGATCTCTTTGCAAAATAATACAGTAAGAACAACAACAAAAAAAGCACAAACTTGCAAACTGTAACACAAAATAAGGCCAACGATAAACCATCTCCCGCCCAAACACTTACCTTTTTAGCTTTGGCATCCAAAAGAGGATGAATATCTCTTCTCAACTTCAACAAAGTAGCAAAACCATACTTTTGAAGCATATTCTTCATGTCCATCCCTCACATCTTCACAATCTGGTTTTAGACAATTAGAATATTAGTTTTATTTAAATCCAAATCAACCCACTTAAAAGATACATATATTAGAAAACCAAGCAAGCTAAATTTACCTCGACAATGTTCTTATTCTCTTCGATCAATATAGCTCGCCACTTGTTTGAGTAGAAGAAGGCTGAGATAGGACGTTTCGGCTTTAACGGGTATTTTTCCTTTCTATCAATGCAAAGGAACCATATATGATTATTAGTTTGATTCAACTCCAAATCAACCCGCTTAAAATAAGTAGAAATTAGAAAACTAAGCAAGCTAATTTACCTCCACAAAGTTCTTATTCTCTAAAATCAATGTAGCTCGACACTTGTTTTCTTTTACAAATTTCTTTTTTTTCTATTCTTTTGTTTTTTTCTCTTTCTGTTTCTTCAAATTTTTTTGCTTTTTTCTTTTCTTTTTCTTTTTTCTGTTTCTTTTCATTTCTTTTTTTTAACTATTTTTTTTATTCAGAATTTTTTTTTTCTTTTTTTTTTCTTTTCGTTTTTTTGGGTAGGCACCGCATGTCCATTGTGGTGCTGCATTATAAAGAAAACATTAATGAGGTGTAATTAAGCCAAGGATATACCATCCCTTGCCCAAAAAGCTTCGGCATCCAAAAGAGGATAAAATATCTTTTCTCAACTTCAAAAAAATAGCCATACCGTACTTTTAAGCACATTCTTCATGTCCTTTCTTCAACGGCACAATCTGGTTTTAGACAATTCAAATGTTAGTTTTATTTAACTCCAAATCAACCCACTTTAAAGATATAGATATTAGAAAACCAAGCAAGCAAGTTTTTACCTCAACAATGTTCTTATTCTCTTCAATCAATGTAGCTCACCGCTTGTTCGAGTAGATGGAGTCCTGACATAGGATGTTTTGGCTTTAATATGTCCTTTTCCATCCTATCTATGTAAAGGAACCATATATAATTAGTAAACAAACTAACAACCAATGAGATTTAGTAAAAACAAAACAAATTAATGTATACTTACTTTAGTTTTCTTGTTTTCTTTCACGATTTCACTAATTGTCTTCCATTTTGCCCCCAACAAGTTCGACATCTCTTTGAAGTGAGCATTTGGATTGGCTTTCTTTTCTGTTTATCTTTTCTTCTTTTTTACTTATTTTACTTTCCTTGGGTAAGTATTGCATGTCCACCCCTCACTGCCGGTCTTCAAAACCTGGTTTTAGACAATTCAAATGTTAGTTTGATTCAACTCCAAATCAACCCACTTAAAATAAGTAGAAATTAGAAAACCAAGCAAGCTAATTTACCTCCACAATGTTCTTATTCTCTAAAATCAATGTAGCTCGGCACTTGTTCGAGTAGATGAAGGCCAACATGGGATGTTTCGGCCGTAATGGGTCCTTCTCTGTAGAAGAACCATATATGATTGTATAACAAACTAACAACCAATAGGATTTAGTAAAAGTAAACAAATTCATGTATACCCACCTTTTTTTTTTTTTTTTCTTTCATAGCTTTCTTTTTTTTTTTTTTTTTTTAACTTTTATGCTTTTTATCTTTCTTTTTCTTTTTTCTCTATTTTTTTTTCATTTATGCTTTTTTTAACCTTTTTTTTTCAGATTTTTTTTTTCTTTCTTTCTTTTTTCTTTTCGTTTTTCTGGGTAGGCACTGTATGTCCATTGTGGTGTTGCATTATAAAGAAAATATTAATGAGATGTAATTAAGCCAACGATAGACTACATCCTGCCCAAACACTTACCTTTTCAGCTTTGGCATCCAAAAGAGGATGAATATCTCTTCTCAACTTCAAAAGAATAGCCAGACCGTACTATTAAGCACATTCTTCATGTCCTTTCTTCACCGACACAATCTGATTTAGACAATCAAATGTTAGTGTTATCTAACTCAAACTCAACCCACTTTAAAGATATATATATTAGAAAACCAAGCAAACAAGTTTTTACCTCAATAATGTTCTTATTCTCTTCAATCAATGTAGTTCACCGTTTGTTCAAGTAGATAGAGACATGACATAGGATGTTTTGGCTTTAATATGTCCTTTTCCTTGCTATCTATGTAAAGGAACCATATATGATTATTAAACAAACTAACAACCAATAAGATTTAGTAAAACTAAACAAACTAATGTATACTTACTTAGTTTTCTTGTTTTCCTTCACGACTTCATTAATTGTCTTCCATTTTGCCCCAAAAAAGTTCGACATCTCTATGAAGTGAGCATTTGGATTGGCTTTCTCTTTTGTTTCATTTTTTTTTTTTCTTTTGTTCTTTTATTTATTTTACTTTTTTTGGGTAAGTATTGCATGTCCAACCCTCACCGAAGGTCTTCAAAACCTGGTTTTAGACAATTAAAATGTTAGTTTGTCAACTCCAAATCAACCCACTTAAAAGAAGTAAAAATTAAAAAACAAACCAAGCCAGTTTACCTCCACAATGTTCTTATTTTCTACAATTAATGCAGCTTGGCACTCGTGTGAGTAGATGAAGGCCGACATAGGATGTTTTGACCTAATGAGTTCCTTTGCTTCCTGTTGATGTAAAAGAACAGTATGTTATTACTAAAAAAACTAACAACTAATAGAATTTAGTGAAACTAAGCAAATTTATATATACCCACTTTGTTTTCATGTTTTCTTTCACAGCCACCAACAGGTTCGACATCTGCACTGACTTTCTTTTTTTGCTTTTCTTTTTCTTTTTTCTCTTTTTTATTTTCTTCCTTTTTTTCAGTTCTTTTTTTTCTGATTTTTTTTTTCTCTCCGTCTTTTTGTTCATTTCTTTGAGTAGGCACTGCATTTCCATTGTGGTACTGCATTATAAAAGAAAACATTAAATGAGAACCATGCATACTTATAAACGGGTTATCTAAGTTGCAATGCATAAAAGACATGAAAAATATATATTCGTATAAAGTATTTCAATTAAAATATAGTTAACTTACCTTGACCAATGCACTCCAATCTTTCACCCGGCATCACAGCTAAATGGATAATAATAATGAGTGAACCAAGCTGAGCTCAACAAACCTCACCATGGGTTAGTGTATGCACTCAAGTTAAATCATAAAAATGGCAATCCCATAGGCTTGCATGTCAATCATATCTCCCTCACTTAAGGGACCTAATGACAAGTATCAGGGGGTCTTTAAACAGGTGTAATGGGGCTCGGGGTATAGGTAGAAAAAAGGATAATGAACGGCTAAAAAGTGTCGAAACAACAATGGAAAGAATTAAAGCATATCACTTGTAAGAATTGAAATCAACATTACATTGGTAACCGTAACTCCACTCATTTTTGTTTCTTTTTGTTTTTTTTTTTTTTTACTTTTTTGTGCTGCTTCTTTTTGTTTTCTTGTTTCAGCACTTTGTTTTTTGTTTTGCTTTTTTTTTTTTTTGTTTTGTTTTGTTGGGGTTTAGCCCCTTTGTTTTATTTTCCTTTTTGTAAACATCAACAACACTATACTTTCCCTTTCTACACTTTATACAAGAAGAATATAAATGATAGCCATAAAACTTCCACTCTTCCTTCGACACAAGGATCAATATAAGGTATAAATCCAAAAAATGGTATATGGCTAAAGGATTAATGATTGATTGAAGAATGAAAAGGTTTTCAAAAGGCTCAACGGTGTTAACTAGTGGATAAAATTTTTGGGTAGGATAATTTAAGCCAAGTAGGTATACCTAATGCCCCCGTCATCTTACTTATATCAGGTCCTCATGTGTGTTCAACATGCATTTCGAGGCAAGTTCTAGAATGCCAATTTAGATCTAACATCACACATGAAAAAAATATATATATAAATATCGAATGCTCTAGGCTCAAAGTCCTCACATAGGAAGGAAATAAAATATTAAGCTCGGCAAGGTTCAAACAGCAATGGATGGCAAGTGAAATAACAATGCATCGACATAGTTGATATCCTGGAAGGGGGAAATATAAAGTCCATGAGCCCCAAAACAAGAAATTGCAAAAGCAGACCAATCTAATCCAAGATGAACAGAAAACCCAACTTACAGGGGTCCGGTGGGCAGAGCAGAGCAGAGCAGAACGAAGGCCGGGCAAAGCGTTGGTTTTTCTCCTTTCTCTCGATCTTCTTCTGCAATCAGAAAGGAAACTTGTAAAATCGAACCGATTCGATTAAAGAAAAATGAAAAAATCGAATCAAGAAGCAGATTGAATATAAAATGGAAAACCTAAAACGGATGATTAGGGACGACGGACTTTCTTATGGCCGCCGGCCGACGACCGGCGTAGACGACGGAAGACAGTCTCTTCCGTGATCGATTTCCTCTCTTCTTGTCTCTGGACTTTCTCTTCTCTCCATTTCCTTCCCCCTCTCTCTCTGTCTCTCTCTCTCTCTCTCTCGCGTTTCTTTCTAGTTTCTTCCTTACCGTTATGAAGTTCGGTTTAAGTATGGTAATAATTTTTCAAATTTTTATAACTAAAAAGTACTACACGATAAAAATTATATTATTATTTTTTATATACAAAAAATATTAAATCAAATTATTTTTCCACCTATAATTGACTATTTTAAAATATAATGAGATGTTTTATTTATTTAATATTTTATTGATAAAATAGATAATTAATTTTAGCATAAATTATTTTTATATTTGAAGTAATTATTTGTAGTCATATTAAAACTCTAAAAATATATATTCAAATTTAGATTTTCTATAAGAAATTATTAATGTAGTTATGTAAAAAAAATTAAAATTAAAATTTTAGATCGTGCCATTTAATTAACATTGTGTGGTATATATAAATTACGGGTCTTTTGATAATTATTAGTATTAATTAAGAAAAGTGATCATTGGAAATTTTGACCTTTAAAAATTTATGGTATGTATTAATTAGTTTCTTTTGGTAATTAGAAATAGTAATTAAGGAAAATGATCAAATCGGATTTTTTTTATTTGATGCAATTTTTTATTTGATGCAACCATTATGAATTTTAAATTTTAAAAATGTATAGTCGATTAGTTTCTTTTGGTAATTAGTAGTTTTAATTAAGGAAATTGATCAAATCAGAATTGGTTGATTGGACCATTTTGGATAAATGGAAAATCCTTTGAAATTGACAAGATTTGACAATTGTTAATTATTTTTTTAAAGTGATAAAATATTAAAAAATAGTAATTATGTCACAACTATTTTCAATATGGCTATTTCATATTTGCATCAAAATAGTCTTTGGTCTTTATTTTTTTTTTTAAAAAAAAGTTAGCTTAGATATTTAATCTTATATATGTACGCTTTTTTAAAAGTGTAAGGCTTTCTTTATTTAGGTTTTGTTTTTTTAACCCTAAACTCCAGCTTTTTACTATTTGAACTGCATTTTCGAAAAAAATATATATTTTTCGCTCATTAAATATCTCATTATACATTATTTTAATATCAATTTCAAATCAAAATTTTCCAAACTATATCAAAAGATAGTGTTTTGATTTTGAATTTTTTTTATGTGAAGTAGTAATATTTTATATTGAATGTTGACTTTTGTAAGAAGATAAAATATAAATATTGTAAATCGTGTTAGAAAAAAAATTATGGACAAACAAACCCTAATTAATTCCTTGTTTGGATAGTTTTTCGGACCATTTTAAAAACCCATGGTGAAAGATGAGTCACCCATCTTTAACACAATGAAATTTGATTTTGACACCATCATTGTATCATTCATTGATGTTAAATATTGGAACAAATTCAGGCTTGTAGATCATATAATGCTAAGGATGGTATCGATAGATGCTTCGAACAATTTTTGTATTCGAACTTGTGCACACTTGAAAGTTTCTCCGGCACCCATGGAAAAATATAAGTTTTGTCTAAGGAGTTAAGAGTCGCCTTTACATAACCATTAATTTGACGGTTAAGTAAATGATTTTTGTGAGAAATTAATTATAAGAACTCAAAAATTGCATTCTTAAATAAAGAAAATAAAGACCAATAAATACACATAATATACACAGACTCGATAGAATAAGATAAGACAAATTTAAATTTAAATCTACTAAATCTAAATCTAAAACTAAATATCTAAAATATCTCAACAATTCTGATCAAACAAAGATAGTGACAAATCACCATATATGCCCTCCAACTTATCAATTGTCGGAAGGGCACTTGTAATAATTTTTGCAAACGTTATTGTAGATTTACCTAGCCACGCAAATATTTGTAAAATGGGACTAGAGATATTGTCGCGGATGTAGTTTCAAATATCTACTTGTAAGTAGTCAATCCATGGAACAAAATTCATCATTGTGAGGACTACTCATTCCCTAGGAGATGGTTATAATGTTGCTGAGAAAAATCAGCATAACATTGATTTTCCTTAATCTTAACATATAAACATAAAGACAACATTCATTTTCTATAGTACATGAATATATTTATTGTATTGAAATTAATAATAGCATATATTATATAAAATTATATCACGTGTTACTATCAATTTATGCCCTATATTTATATTATATTAACATAAATAAGTATTGTATGTCTCAATATCTAATGTTGTTATCACTTTATTGAAGTAAAATTGCTCATTCGCCAAGAGCGATCTCCGGTCAATGTATTCAAAAATCCATTGGTAAGCGATGTCCAAAAAGCTTGTATTTTTCTATCAGGTCTAATTCTGATCTCGGATCATTTAAAATATCATATAAAATATTATTTTAATTTAAATCATTATTATATCCAAACCTCAAACCTAAACCTTGTGAAGGTTTATTAAAGACAACAATGGCACATAAAAAACAGGGGACACTTCATGAATCAACTGCAGTCGCGCCGTAACCTCGTCCATCTAGTCCTCTCGGTGTTTTTCTGAACGGATTGAAAGCAATCATCGTCAGTTCACGCGTATAAAGACAAAAAATCATCAAAGCTAAGCATGTTCCTTTTACCTCGATTCATCTCACTCGCAATCGGGGCCTAAAACAGAGTAAAATGAAATTATATATAAGAAAATTGAATAATTTTAATAAAAAATAATCATTCTAACATAAATTTATTTATTTAGAATAAATTACAAGATAAATATCGTTTAGTGTTAAATAAATATGATAGATATAAGTTTATTTTGTTAATTAAAACCTCACTCTTGACTGTTTAATTAAATGATTAAATTAAAAATAATTTAATTTGATTTATATAAAAATTTATTTTATAATTTAATTGCATTATATAATTCAAAAATATCATAACTAATTTTTAACTATAAAATTCGTATAATATAATTTATGTATAATTAAATACAGATAAAATAATTTATAAATTAAATATATATATATATTCTTCACTCCAAGTTGCCCCAATTTTGAAGGAAATCAAAATAAATTCATTTTATATTTTTTCCCCTCTCTTTCCCCATTTAAAAAAATAGAACCAAACTAGATAATTATATTTTTTTTTTTCTCCCCTCCCATCCCCTACCTTCCCCTCCATTATTCTCAAACCAAACAGACCTTAAATTGATGTTCGATAGTATTATAATTTTTTCATTTTTTTGGGATCAAATTGGGTGTTTCTATTGTGGTTGAATCAAGAATAACATCATAAGGTTAGAGGGATAACACGTGGGGTTAGTGCAGCAAGATTTAGACGCCAATTTCGACAACAATAATTTAGGTGAATTTGGTATTTAATGGTTTTTTTTTTGTTGTGGGTGTGTGTGCGAGTAGATGCTCACAATGTTTCGTTAAGCATGTTGAAAATGTGCTTCGTGTGTTTGTTTTTCGTTTTACTATACGAGCATATGCATACATTTTGTTGGTCAAAAACAGTAGTAGATTCCAACACTGTTTTATTTTGCCTGTTTAGCATAGGTTATCGTTTTTTTTTATATTTTATTCTAGTTTCTTTCCGGTACTAGATGTCACACATTTTCAAATTTATGTTAGATGTTCTCACACTGTGTATTATTTGTTGAGGGCCAGTGTGCCACAAATGCTTATAGATGTTCTAATTGTTTGCATATATATATATATATCTTAGTATGCGTTCGAAAGCATGTAACAACATTATTTGTGTTATAATGGTATGTTTTGAGGGAAAGTGTACTAAAAAATTGAATATCTTTTATGATTATGCATGCCTTATCAAAGTTTCTATTTTGTTTTAATTTGTGTCTAATATGAATAGACAGGGTAACTAAAAGTTTTCGTCTTTTTTTGGACTATGGTGGTTGCTTTTGTTGGGTGCATTTGTTTCGAATTTGTATTTTTGCGTATTTATTTTAATTGTGTGATATATGTATCCAATATTTGTGATTTTGCTTTAATTACATGTTTGATATCAATAAAAGTTTGTATTTTTGCTAGACTATGTGACCTAAAGGTTGGATATGTAATTTTTTGTATTTGTGGTTATTGTTGCATATTTATTTTAAGTGTGTGTAAATCATTGCACATCTTTTGTGATTATACATGCCTTGTATGTTGGGGTAGACTCACGCAATACTTTTATTTTTGTTTTAATTATGTGTCTGAAATTGTTTTAATTATGATTTTTTTTTTAGATTGCATATTTGTTTGAATTTTTTATATTTGTGGTAGTTGTTGTGTATTTATTTTTTTGTTGTATGTTTTGAGGGCAACTGTACTTCTAAAATATTGTACACCTTTATATGATTGTGCATGTCTTATCTATCTATCTTTTATTATTGTGAATTTTTTGTGGTTATTGCGTATTTATTATAATTGTATATTTATTACTTGGAGTCCCTGAAAGCATGTAATAAGATTTGGTAAGGGCTAAGTGTAATCAAAATATTGTACATCTTTTATGATTGTGCATGTCTTATCCAATGAGGGTAGCTCTATCCGGAAGTTTGTATTTTTGTTTTAATTATGTGATATTATTTGCAAGTAGACATGGTAAAAGTAAATATTTGAATTTGTATTTGTACTATGTGTTTGCTTTTTGTTGGGGCATGTATTTGTTTGGAATGTGTAGTTTTTTATATTTGTGGTGACGCGTATTTATTTTAATGTATATTTATTGGAGTGCCTTGAAAGCTCGTATTGTATGTTTTGACGGCAAGTATACTCAAAACATTGTATATCTTTTATAATTGTTCATGTCTTATCTATCGGGGTAGTTGTACCCGATGTATGTAATTTTGTTTTAGTTACATGTTTGATTATCATTTGGGGTAGATACGGTAGAAGTAAAATTTTGTATTTTTTATTCAAATTATATTATTGCTTTTTGTTGGAGGCTTGTGCCTTCAAGGTTGCATATCTGTTTGGAATATGTGTTTGTTTACATTTGTGGTTGTCGTGTATTTATTTTAATTGGGTGCTTATTAATTGGGTAATAAGATTAGTTGTGTGCTTATTGTATGTTTTGATGACAAGTGTACTAATGATCCCAACAAAAAGAAAGAAAATTACGTACCAATTATTGTCGGATTTGGCCTCTAATCCTTTCCTCTACTCACGATGTTGTTCTTGATTCAACCTCAATAGAGAGAAAACACATCAGTTTGATCCTAACAAAATAAAAAAATTATAATACTATTGAGTATCAAAGTTACGTACCGATTCTTATCATGATTGGTCTGTATGCCTTGCCCCTTTAACATCACAATGTTGTTCTTGATTCAACCTCAATAGAGAGAAAACACATCAATTTGATCCCAGCAAATTGAAAAAAATATAATACTATTTAGTCTCAACAAAATGAAAGAAAGTTACGTACCAATTCTTATCATGATTGGTCTGTATGCCTTGCCCTTTTGACATCACAATTTTGTTCTTGATTCAACCTCAATAAAGAGAAAACAAAATGAAAAATCTAGCACTATTGATTCCAACAAAAAGAAAGAAAAATACGTACCAATTCTTGTCGGATTTGGCCTAAAATCTTTCCCTCTACTCATGATGTTGTTCTTGATTCAACCTCAATAAAGAAAAAACACATCAGTTTAATCCCAAAAAATGAAAAAATTATAATATTATTGAGTCTCAACAAAATAAAAGAAAGTTACGTACCAATTCTTATCATGATTGGTCCGTATGCCTTGCCCATTTAACTTCACAATGTTGTTCTTGATTCAACCTCAATAGAGAGAAAACAAAATGAAAAATCTGGCGCTATTGATCCCAAAAAAAGAAAGAAAATTACGTACCAATTCTTGTCGGATTTGGCCTCTAATACTTCCCTCTACTCACGATGATGTTTTTGATTCAACCTCAATAGAGAGAAAACACATCAGTTTGATCCAAACAAAATGAAAAATTATAATACTATTGAGTTTCAACAAAATAAAAGAAAGTTACGTACCAATTCTTATCATGATTGTTCTTGATTTAACCTCACCAGAGTGAAAACACATCAATTTGATATCAGGCATCAATTTAATCTCAACAAAATGAAAGAAAGTTACATACCAATTCTCATCGGGTTTGGTTTATTAGCCTTGCCCCTCACGATGTTGTTCTTGATTCAACCTCAATAGAGAGAAAACACATAAATTGAGCCAAAGAAAATGAAAAAGCTATAATACGATTGAGCATCAATTTAATCTCGACAATTAAAGAAAGTTACATACCAATTCTCATGAGGTTTATCGTAAAAGTGTGAGCATCTTCAGCTGTAGGATTGCAGCTTTAAGAAGGATCGATCACAGAAGATAGTCACTGCTGAAAGATTCAAGAACCTCACTGCCATTATCATCATCGTCTTCCTCGCCTTAAATGTATGTTCGAATCCACCTGCAGACCACTTCTACAAGCAGAATTCGGTGTTGAAAAACCAGGTGGTGTGAGTGTATGTTCACCAGTTTTACCGATGATCCAAACCCATTTTCTTTCATGTCTGTTTTTCCGTTTCATTGGCAACACTATTGGAGTTCTTCTCGGATTGTCTGGATCGCCACTTGATTTCCCAGTAGACACTGATGGTGTTCCTGAAAAGTTGCTCGTTCAGATGGCCATTGCATTTGTACTGATGACAACTCTTGCCCAGATGTGTGTTGTGCTAAATGATGGAGCAGTCAATGGTGATAACTTAGCAAAGATGCACTCTCAGCTAATCCAGATGCTTGAAGGTGCTCATGGATAAGCCCTGAAGTAAGTATGGATAAGGCGGTGTTGATCAATAGAAAATTAAACAAAAACCATGATCCATATATCTAGGCAAGAAGGTATAAGAAACTGGAGTAGCAGCAGCTATGCCCTTTCGATGCATCTCAATACTTGCACGCCCGTAATGGAACAAAATATAATCTCAAAAAGAACATGTACAAATCTGACAAGACTAAGGTCACGTATGAACATTATGCCTGTATTATCCAATGTTATAACTTGTATTTCCAGATTGGATCACAATATATATAATCGAGGTAGATAGCCAAGAGGTTATTCAGCCAAATATATGTATATATATATATATCGAGGGTAAGGCTTGTCAGGAGTAATACTAGCTAAAGTGTGCACATATTTAGGCCAAGTTTCCTCTTGAAATCTAATAATAACATGAAGAAATTAGAGCCCATACCATAAGCTCACTTGAGTTAATTCCGCCTGCCATCTATTTTGGTCACCACTGGCGGTTTGGCTCCCACTCGGATGAGCTTTGATAACTTTTCCAAACCTAAAAAAATAAACAAATAAAATTATATTAGAAAGCTTATAGCTATGGGTCCCCGTCAATTTTACAATTGATTAATAAACCAAAAAAACAGCAGCACCAAGCTACACCAACCTGAAGTTCGGTCAATATATGTGCAATAGCATCAACCTAAAAGCACTCGGCATGTAAGAGCACGAAGACAATCAAGAGCTGCAGGGGATGTCACCATTCGAGATTGGAGAAGCTGAAGAACCTTTATACCATGCCTTGAACGAACGCTTCTCTAGCTTTACGATATCCTTGTCCAAGCATGAAATCCTGCGATCTCCAACTAAACCAGAAGCAACTAATGAAGCAGATGCCTGTGATGATGAAGTGTTACCAACAGATGATGGCATAGGTGTCAGTTCCCCAGTTTGATCCCTTGATTCATTCTGATTTGGACCACCTCTGGGACATTCCTCTCTGAATTTCTGTCCCTGGAGTTTATAGCAGATTGATTCCAGCTTGGGTAGAAGAAGCTTGCTGACCTTGCATGAGACTTGGCTTATTGCTTATTCATGAAGGAGGGCACACAAGGTTTATTAACAAATTCAACGCTGGTTCAACAATCTACAATTTTGACAATGAAAATTTTCAAAGTTAATTGAGGCATGCAATTAAAATGAATACGCAAAAACACAAATTCCGAACAAATGCAACCAACAACACTTGCCCTAATATAAAATAAGCAACACGTGGGGTTAGAGCCGCAATATTTAGAGGTTAACTATGAAGGGAGTTGATAAGATTGGTTTCTGAAAATCTATGCAAATAATGAATTGACCTAGCTATTACAATAATTTTAGGTGATTTACTTTTATAATCTACAAGTGGATGCAGCAGCAAAATGTGAAGTCATATCACCCGAACTGCAAGATCCATTCAGACTTCTCCCAAAACTATAAAAATATATAAATATATGACTCTACTATTTTGACCACAAATGTATGCATATGCTCATATAGTAAAACGAAAAGTTCAAAGCACATTCTCGTCATGCTTAACGAAAAAAATGTAAGCATCTACTCAAAGCTTAAGGCTTTCACACGGAGTGTGTTGAATGCTGAAGTGACATCCTCTAGAGGAAAAATAATCAAACTTAAGCATAAGCTAATATCAAAATTTTTTGTTCATATCAAGGAATTTATTACAAGTTTAAATTTAAAACTTTAAATCATAATATAATTAACATTACAAATACCTCATTCCCAGCAGAATGGTAGCCCCCACCATCATAGGCAGTAAATTGATAAAATCGATGAATTGGTCTTGCGATCCCACAAAACTCCATTCCAAAGCAGCATTGAGTCAATATGAATGATCACATCCATGATCATGTCCAGACGGGTTATTAGAAGTATCAGTCAGTGTCAGATCCAATTGACAAGACTGGATATCATCATACACAAGGATTTAACGCCGGGATGAATCTGATGGCAGTGATGCAAACATTGAATGCTTGGCTCAGGGCAGACATGAGGATAAATAGGTCGGACTGGTTAGCAAACTCTCAACAGATGGTGTGCATAACAAGTTCGAATCCATATGGTCTGAGTGTATGTTCACCAGTTTGGTCTATCCAACAAGAATCCACAAGTTGCTATTTCAGATGGCCATTCATTTGTACTGATGACAACTCCTGCCCAGATGCGTGTTGTGCTAAAGATGATGGAGCATCCAAGGATGGCATTGGTGATAGCCTAATTCAGATAATTGAAGGTGCTCATGGATAAGCCCTGAAGTTGGTGTTGATCAGAAGAAAATTAAACAAAAAACCATGATCCATATATCTAGGAAGGAATGATTATCAAATACCTAGAATGATAAGAAACTGGAGTAGCAGCAGCAATGGCTGCTCCTCTTTCAATGGTCTCAAAGTGGGGGTTGCTGCATCACTAGCTGCTAAAGTACTCGGCATGTAAGAGCACGAAGACAATCAAGAGCTGCCGGGGTGTCACCATTCGAACCAGCCCCGCACAACCTGCTCGAGCACCTAAATCTCCAACTAAACCGGAAGCAACTAGCAGATGCCTGTGATGATGACCACAGAGATGATGGCATCAGTTTCCCCAGTTCGGTCCCTTGATTCAACTGATTCGGACCACGCTCGCATGCACCCATTCTATTCAATGCAAAGTGATGTAACTTCACAATTTGCTGCTGCATCCACATGTAGAGGATATTCTTAAATCATGAGTCTGTGAATAAATATTTGTCTTCTTGTTTCTGCTGCAGAGAGTCTAGGAATATTTAGCAACTACACCAGGATCCACGGGAACTTTTGCAATATCCGATAGTTGACAGCCATCCACAATGCAAAAACAGAAAAAAGAGGTGCTTCACCACGCGTGCATTGAATCTGAAGTGACATCTCTAGATTTCGCCTGAGGATTGCAATATAACATCACACTGGCATTAAATCTAATCACCGACTCTGATCAATGATGGCTCGGAGATCCCACACCTCAGAGTTTAAGATTACTATTTCAAAGTAGAGGAAAAATAATCGAACTTAAGCATAAGCTAATATCGAAAATGTTTGTTCATATCAAGGAGTTTTCTTACCATTTTAAATTTAGAACTTATTATCCAAATCAGCCAATGTTATAACATTATTTCCAGATTGGATCACATTATATATAATCGAGGTAGATAGCAAGAGGTTTTATTCAGCCAAATATATTCAGGAGTAATACTACTTGCTAAAGTGTGGCACATAGTTAGGCCAAGTTTCCTCTTGAAATCTAATAATAACATGAAGAAACTAGAGCGCATACCAATAATCTCACTTGAGTTTAAGTCGGCTGCCATCTTTTTGGTCACCACTGGCATTTTGGCTCCCACTCGGATGAGCTCTGATAACTTTCCCAACCTAAAAATTAAATAAATAAAATAATATGAAACTTATGCTATGGGTGTGCACATCCATTTCCATCACACCATTTGAAAGGAAAAGCAGTTCATTCCCCCGTCAATTTTTACAATGATTAATAAACCAAAAAATAGCGCACCAAGCACACACCAACCTGAGTATGGTCATATTGCAATAGCATCAACCTAAAAGCACTCGCATGTAAGAGCACGAAGACAATCAAGAGCTGCAGGGGATGTCACCATTCGAGGTTGGAGAAGCTGAAGAGCAATGCATACATTACACGAACAGCTTCTCTAGCTTGACGAATCCTTGTTCAAGCTGATCCCCAAGCCAACGAAATCCTCGATCTCCAACTAAACCAGAAGCAACTAGTGAAGCAGATGCCTGTGATGATGAATTGTTACCAACAGATGATGGCATAGGTGTCAGTTCCCCGTTCGAACCCTTGATCCATTCTGATTTGGACCACGCTTTGGGACATTCCTCTTGAATTTCCTGTCCCTGGAGTTTATAGTCAGATTGATTCCATGTTTGGCTAGAAGAAGCTTGCTGACCCTGCATGAGACTTGGGTTATTGCTATTGATGAAGGAGGGCACACAAGGTTTATTAACAATTCAATCAACGCTGGTTCAACATCTACAACTTTGACAATGAAATTTTCAAAGTTAATTGAGGCACAAATACTTAAAATAAACCATACGGTTGATGTGCAACATACCTCAGGTTCACCATAGCCATCACGATTTGCAGCATCCAAAATGACAGCTATACCAACCCGATCATTGGTCAAGTAGCATTCACAGAAGGT